TGTGACCTTAAATACAATTCTCTCGGAATTAATAGATAGAATATTTTACGACATTGGCAGAACAAGTCTATGGCAAGTGATATATAACTTGGGTTTCAAATTTCAAAAGGAGGATAACAGAAAGGCCCTTTGTGAAAGAAGTTCTGTCGTGCACAAGAGAATTAACTTTCTAAGAAGATATTCTAAATTTAAAGAAGAAGGGACGAATTTTATATATTTAGACGAAACATGGATATTTTCTAGGGGTGCAACCAAGAGAATATGGCAAGATGATAACGTAAAGTCCATCAAACATACCGATGAAGAAGGGAAGCGACACATAATTTTACATGCAGGAGGGAAATCGGGTTTTATAGAAGGTGCAGATTTAATATTTTCTTCTAAATCAAAATCCAGTGACTATCACGATAATATGAACACAGAAATGTTTGTAAAATAGTTGCATGAAAAACTTCTCTCAGGTTTAAGTGAGCCCAGCGTAATTATTTTAGACAATGCACCTTACCATTCTGAAGTATTAAACAAAAGTCCAACGAATTCTTGGACTGTTGATAAAATTACAGAATGGTTGACAAAGGAACACATACCATTTCCTCAATATATATTACAATCAGAATTATTACGCTTGGCAAATATACACGCAAAACCAAAAACCTTTGTTGTGGATCAGATTATTGAAAGTTACGGTCATCAAGTTTTACGTCTGCCACCGTATCATTGCCAGTTTAATCCCATCGAATATATATGAGGAATAGCAAAACGATATTATGACAACCATATTGGGCCTAATGGTTATAGTGACGACGCAGTTCGGGAAACTTGGCGAAAAGCACTTTCAATTGCAACTCCAGAAGTGTGGCGGAACTGTATATCCAAGTGCGTGAAAATAAAATAAACGTAATAAGTCCAATCATAATAACAATTAATGGTGATCACAGTGATGATGATGACGAATATGATATTTTGGATGATAATGACTGATTTTCATTTTTGTTGGCAAGTTCAATTTTTCATTTGAAATTCTCTACATGGAACAAATTTTTATGTTAGAAAATATTTTATTTGAGCTAAATAACCCTCTTATTATACATAGGCCATATTTTCTGTGTGAAGTGTAATATAAAATTATTATTAGGTTTATAATAGCCACATTAGACTCCATTAATGAAGAAGTTTAATTCTGCTCTCAATTATAGAAAAGATTCTCCATTATTATTTAATTAAAAAGTTGTACATTATTTTTCATTTCATTTAACCAGTTGATATTTCCCCAAAGAACAGGTCAAACTTTCGGGTACTTACCTGGAAATACTCATAAAAATTTTAATCCGAAACCCGCATAAGTATAGCGAACAGACTGTAGTGTTTTTTTTTTTAGTTACAATGGAGTGATTTACGGGACAACAACGTGCTTTTTGTATTCGTACGTTTTATAAAAACAATGATTCTTATGTTCTTGTGCGTCGTTTGTACAGAAATCATTATAACATAGCAAGAATGAATGATGTCCCAACTGTAAATTTAATTAAATATTGATTAAAAAAGTTTGCGAGTACTGGAAATTAAATTTGCACTTAGGATATCTTTCATTCTTGCTATGTTATAATGATTTCTGTTATAAAGATTATAAAGATTATAAAAATAGCGTATTGTCACCTGCATCTGTACTCTTGCATTTAATAGTCTATTTTTACCATACTTATGTTAGGAGAGTGAAACAGATTTACGAGTATGAAAGAGTTAGCACTAGTACTTAAATTACTGAAAATTTTCCATCAAAAAGAATACTGCATTTTGGCGCTTAAATAAGAAGCAGGTGTGCAAAATTTTACATATATTTTTATTCCTGGAATTTCAAAAAAAAAACGATAAATTGCATTTACTGTTGTCATAAATCAGGGCCGGCTTCCGATTTGTGAAAGATTTTTAAATTTGGTGATACAATGAATAAAAAATATATTGTTGTTCTTTTTGTTTATTATATATAATTTATAAGGGGTAGATTATGTGGATGAACTGAAGTATCTGTGAAAAATGATTGTCATTTTTGAACACACTGCTCGGCGCGAGAAATAAAGATATGTTTGAGACACTCAAAAATAAATTAAAATTATAAAGATTAAAGAAAACTGATAAAACGAAAATATATCGGGCGTGAACTCGCAATAAGTCCTAATATTAAATGAAAGGGACTTTAATTTACTCTCTTGTGCTTCAAATATTAAATGGTACTCTATTTGTCGATGTTATCTAATAAAAGAAAGTTTACCAAAAATGGCCATAAATAAAAAAGCTGAGCTTCAAAGAGAAACAATTTTGAAACTTATTGAGTTACTTTAAATACTTAATATTGTTAACTTTAAAAATATAATTTTAAAACAAAATATATTTTATTTTCATTGTCCAATGTTGACTTTACTCTATTAAAAATAACTTTCCCCCATATAAATTATTAGCAATATTTTTCCTATCTTTACTTAAATGTCCATACCAGCACTCTACTGTCTATAGTGAACTACACGTTTTCCATTAAAAAAGCATTGGTGTCCAAGATCCTGTTTGCCAACGGCAGGCATTCGATTGGATTTGAAGTCTCTTCCCAGTTCCTCGTTTGTTTATTTTTATTCTGTCACTTAAAAAGCAATAAATGACTTAGTAAAGTACTAAGCAGATTTTTTTTTGTTTCAACTGTCATCTGTATGTCGTTCGGTGTTAAGCACCGCTTATCTTTGTTAGTATTGGTCATATTCTCGCGAATTCTGAAGTAGAGAACATGGTATAGATTAACAAAATCCTGCACAGTAGCAATGCCAAAAGGATCTAAGCGTGTATCTCGGCTATTATTGGTAGGATTCGAATGGGGAAAAAAACGAGGGAGTGGGGGAAATTATCGATGAAGAGAAAAATTACGCGCAGTGACCTGCTCCATTGATTAAATTTAAACGGGCGGTGAGGAGGTAGTTTACACCAACTATTGAATTTTAATCATTATCGAGATCTCAAGCGAAAAGAATAGACGTAAGAGTTTGATAAGAGTTAGAGAACTAAGTAAAGATATAAAATTATATGAAGACAAAAAGCAAGTGTTAGAAGATGTAACAAATTTAAGTCTCTGAGATAAAATCTTTGAGAAACATCATCCTAGACCGCTTAGAAGAAACCGACGCAGATATGGCCTTATTGAAATCAAATTTTATTATTATTCATGTAGCGTTGATACAACAAGAAGAAAACGTGAAACCGCAAGTATTGTTGGTAAAAGTCTATGTGCTTTAAAAAATGTGTACCAGCTCTACCTGAAAACGGGCCTTATGACCAGACGGCCCCGATCCTAGTGAAAACGGGTCACCCATTTTAAGCGTATATTTATATTATGTTGAAAACTTTGTCCTTTGTGAGTGATATTAGTAAAAAACATTCACAAAAAATACGGTACGCAATTTATGGATGTAACAACAATAAAAGAAAAAAGTATTTAAAAAAGACATGTTTTTTCGCTCTCTTCGACAGTAAGAGATTTGCTATAAAAAATAAGCAGATAAATTTAAAACATAAAATTGTCATGTGTGTTCCAAAGCAAAAATTGTCATTTGTTCATTCGCAACTCCGGGACTCGATAAATTTCTACCTGTAGAGAATTCGCAACTGAGGACTTGTTTAAGCGTTGTTAGTAAATGGATAAACATAAGATAATTTTTCATCAACTGTCTACGTAAGTTGGCGGCATATGAAAAACTTTTTTAATATTATTATTATTAGGAAAAAAGTTATTCTTCATAAAAAGTCGAGCAGCATGGCCTAAAACCTAAAATACAACCATCAAATATATAAGTCGTATACAAGGTTGTCAAAAATAAAGGTACTTTACTCTTCAGCAAAAATCATATTTTTTGATAAACCTCGTATACAGCTTAAAAAAACTTATATCTGATGATTGCATTTTAAGTTTTGGATCATGCAGAACTTTTTATCAGGAATAATTTTTTTCACAAAACCAATAATAAAAAGTTTTCCGTATGGTTCCAACTTAGTGAGACATTATATATAAATCCTATCTTTTTCTTGAAAAAAGTACTTATGTATATTCAATTGGGTAATATAATGCAGGTAAATAAGTCACCAGTTGTGAATTCTAAACGGGTAAATTTTACGACGTCCCCAGATGCGAAATTTTTACCCAGACTCCTAAGTTCCGAGTTGCGAAGATACCCTTCTCATTATCCTGGTTATATGAATTATTCTTTAGAATCGAAGGTTCAACAAAATTAAAAACCTGAATTCGAATTAGTATTACAAAAATAAATCATTAAAAAGAAAAAGGGAAAAAACTGTTACTTAAAATTTCTTTTATTTATATGTTTACATTTATTTTTCGTCATTGCTTGTTCCTTAACTATCCCATAATAATGTCCTTACATATTTGATTTCTAAAAAATTATCTTTTAATATTCATGAAATTTCTGAAAATTCCTCACGCTTAGTTGATATTTTTAAATTCGCGCTTATACAAACTCTACGCGTGACGTCATGCGCGTGGCCGTTCTATTTTTGACTCTGTTGATATCCTACCTCTTCCTTTTTATACCATGCGGGTCACCAACCAAACAAATGACCAATATTTGGTGACCTCAAGTTTACGGAATATAATATCTGCGGTTTTGCTACGAAATCAGCTTCAAGAGGTTAGAGGTGTTAATCTTAGCGAATGGATAGTTAGAAAGGCTTCATGCTAATGGATTGTCTTGTAATCACTTAGCATGGAATGATGATGACTGGAGCAAAGTAATGTTTTCAGATAAGTCTTCCATTTGGTATAGGGTCGGTAATGGTTTGGGCAGGTATTACTTGCGCACACAGAGTTGGTTCTCTTATAACTTACAGGTACATAACGGAGGCTCTGGAACATTATGTTATGTCTTTCATAGTCACTATAGAGATGATTTAGGTACACCTTAATATTAATTATACCTACGCATATAAAATAAAGCATCCTAACTTACCCATCGATTCCCCAATAGGAGATAAGCGCCTTCGAAGAAATACATTGTCTTTATCATTTTTAACTAATTGTTTTTGTTGAAAACCTAATAGGCACTTGTTCAATTCTCTTAAAATATTATCTTCTTCGTATTGTCCGATCGGTAATTTGGTATAATTATCAGCATCAATACAACAAACGGTCATCTGAAAAATGAAATTTTTATCACAAGAAATTCTAGTAATTTCATCAAAAAGTTACATTCTGGTTAAATGTGAAGTTACCTCATTAGGTCGTTCGAACTTTTCCAAAAAAGCGCGGTGCTTTGGATCTACCATTCTTGACACTTGTCGTACACCTTCAACTGTTAAAACTTCATTGTCTTCTAAAGATTCGACGTTCAAAAGAATTGTTAGCAGTTCTGGGGCTGTTGCCAGATTTATACATTCCTAAAATGATGAAAATAACAAAGATAATTGAAGAAAATAGCTGTACTGACTATGTACATACAGCTATTTCTCAGAGTTGATATAAAGTTTTTAAAAGATGATTTTTTATTGTAATAAAATTGAAGAGAGAGAGCTAGAATGGTTTACTCCTTAATACTATTTTGAACTATTTTTTCTATTTTTTTTATATTGTTAGATTTTTGTTAGATCGATTGTCAATCAATGTCAGGCAGTGACTGCCGCGGTGATGTCGTTCCTTCTCGATCGCGTACCGCTTATTTGTCTCACATGCATGAGCGATCGAATGAATATAAGAGCGACATAATGCAGTTAAGCAAAAGCAGTAATAATGAAACAGTAAAATTTTATCGTTTAGGGAGATATGAAGAAAATAAAATCAAAGTAATACTTTCAACAATAAACTTTGCAACCCAAATATTAAAAAACAAAAACAACCTCTGCTACATAAGACGAGACCTAACAGAACAGCAGAAAGAACATCAAGAACTTGCAGTAGAATTAGAAAGAAGAAAGCAAGCTGGAGAACAAGACATCACGATCAAATATATCGGAATTTTTACAAAAGAAGTAACCGAGTTTATGATGGAACACAGAGTTTTAAAAAAAATGCTTGGACAGGTCGATTTTGTTTATTTAGATATGCATATTTTGATAAACCAATATTCGTGATAATATGAAGCATCTCATCACCAGTATTTTAAAATGGCACACCTTTTTATTTTAGTACCAATTAAAAGAGAATATTTTTAAGGTACGGTCGCCAAATTTTGTAGTATGTACAATATTTTCGAGAATAAAGCTATTTATTAAACCAGTTACGAAATGCCTTATTTTATGTAACAAGTGAATATTTGCGGGACGAGCACAGCGAGGTCCCGCAACATGAGCGAGCTACATAAAACAACGTTTCCTAACGTGTTACAATATTTTTTGTAATTATGACTAAATTATTTATAAAATTGTGTTGTGGTAAAAAATTACTGACATCTAGGCAATCAGTATTACTATTTTCTTGTATTGTTAGTTACATATACATTATTTTATTAACAGGACATAATAATTATTTATTCTCAACGTCTTGTAGTGTTTATATAACTTATTAAAGTTATTTTGTTTTTAAAAAAGTGGATTATTTTGTCATGTAGTGTTTTAATTATTTTGTAATAAGGACCAAAACAACATTATTACTAGGTTATAAGTTCAACCAAATTTTATTTTTATAAGTCAACCTGCCCGTCTTTGATATAAACTTTTAATAATAATGTATATTATTGATTTTAAAGCCAAATAGGTTTATTTTTAGTTGTTTTCGTTTCGCAACTAGTGATGTAATGAACCAATTTCATAATGTTTAACATTATGTAACTAGTTGCGTAAAGTAGATCATTTTTACACTTGCTGCGATTAAAAAAACTGCCACTTTATATGTCAAAATTAAAAAAAAATCTTTTTGATCTCGTAAATATTGTTATGTAGCATTTTGCATCTCTATAGGTATATAAAAAAATGTGTTCTTTTAATTTGTATTATCAAAAAAAGTGTTGCTTGGACACCCTCTATCAGGCCTGAAAATAACTATCTCTTCCGCCGGAGAGACTAGCCGCAGTTAAGCAGTGATCTCTCCAGTCACGTCGTGGACGCGTTGACCGCTAGGACGTTCCGCCATGGGACTTAGCAGATTATAGCGTTTAATCATCGACGACGTGGAATGAATGACGGTGAATGAGGGAGTGAATTGGTGAATGGGAAAGTAGTAAGATCTTCAAATGGTGGTACAGTAAGCTGCAGGCTGCAGTGCCACTAGTTAAGGTGACAGCTGGCAGATTCCGAAGGGTATAAAACTAAAAAAATCTCTCACCGGAGATGCTAGTATTAAGTGCAATAGTACATTATATTCAATATTTACCTGCGTATATCCATTGCTTAAAACATTTCCTCCTACTTTGGCACTTGAGAAACATATTTGTAAACATTCTTCCTCCGGTCTATCTAATTTTCCGTCATGGCGGATTTTTAATGAGCATAGAGGCAAGTTACATTCTAACCAGTCTTCTATAGTTAACCATTCTTTACTACCCATTACCTAAAAAAATAGGGTTTTTGTAACAATATTATCTTTCAAATTTCATTTGGCGGAAAAGATGTTGAGCTGCGAAGAAAGATGGAAAGCAATACACGGTTTCATAAAAAATATCATGAAAAAGGTGTTGAATGTAGAGGTTTTGGTGTTTCCCTGTACATTTAACTTTAACTTATTCCCAAGACTACACTACAGTGACTTGTTTACATTAAAGGTGCTGGTTTTTTTTCCTTGTTTTTGAAGAAATAAAAATCCGGTCACAATTAAGACCATTTAATCGAAATTCTTCGAACTGTTATGTCACAAAACAAAATAAACAATATTTACATACTACTGTAGAAAATTAATCACATTTTTGCCAACATTTCTGTGTTTTCCAGAAGATTGGAGAAAATGTTTTCAAGAATGGTTTTCGCGAATGCAAAAATGCATTGACTGTGGAGGAGAAAAGTTATAAATAAATGTATTTGTACAGAAGAAAAACAGCCCTCGTATATTAATTATTACCTGTCTTAAGATTTTCATAGTTCCACAGCAATTTTCATTGTTGGCTATCCATTCAAAATAATAAAGTATACTTTTTAGTTTTGATTTTTGCGTGTTGTTGTTTAGATTTTTAAAGAAGTCGGCAAAATTGAAATTTTGCAGAGTGGGATGCGTTTTGTCAGTTCTTTTTGGAAAAGTCGAAAAAAATGCGTTTGCTATGAGAGAAGATATAAAAGAATATTCAAGTTCTGTGGAATCAGCTAAAAAAATATAATAATAAACTTGTTAATTATTCGACTTTATTAAACGAAAAATGAATTAGTAAATTTTGGTTATACCTTGCTGTTGCAAACTAAAATGTAAACCGCTTTTAGGTCTACAGTCCTTGATTTTAAGCGCCCTAGTGGCTAAGTTGGGTAAGGTTTTTGTGAAAAATACACTCCTTTCTTCATTTGTTAGATCATTATCTAAAAAATTCATGAAACCTTCAAACTGTTGGGGGTCTGAACTTTCCTCGTCTGGTTCTAAACTTACGCTAAAAACAAAGTTTTTTTCTAAATAGGTATTAGGTACTTTCATAACATGCTTTATTATAAATAATATTGTAATGCGAGCCATTTTCTATCAACATGGTCATGCTCTATTCCTTTAAGGCCCTCTCTGCCTTGTCCGAGTACCAAAAGTATTTAAAGAAATTAGTCAAACCTCGGTGATATGTCTACGGCTAGTCGCAGTGAATCATTCATAGAATGTACTGGAATACTAGAACGATAACAAATTTGGTAAATGCATATTCTATAAATTATCGGAGAGTCTAATAATATAGTGGGTCTGAGACGTATGATGGAATGGTGTCTGAAGCCTTCGTAGAAGTTCTGGTGAATATTTGGGAACCTTTTTATACAAATAATGTTATATAAATAAGCTGTGTGTTGATGAGGAAGTGATTTAAAGTTACGATACAGCTGAAGATAGATTTTCGATTTGTTGTGATAAAGTGAATTTAATAAATGAAAATATGTATACGTTAGTTAATCATTATTATTAGTTAACACATTTTATTTCGAAAAATTACGATAACCTATTAGCGTAGGAATTAAGGGCTAAGAAAACAATTTTAATCCGAAATTTTTGAACACCCTATAATTAATAAAAGTTGAGATTAAAAATTATTTCTCTCGCAATTTGATACAAAAAGGGACTATTAGTTGATCTCTATAGAACATTCTATTTTCGAGATTTTTTAAGTTTAGTCCCGCTCAAAGATGAAATTTATGTACCTATGTACCTACATTATGAAATTAAAAAAATACAGTTCATCAAATTTCTAGAGGTGTTCGACGCCCAGACAAAGAACACGCTACGTGTGACTAAGATAGCTATTGTACAGTCTGCTAAACAAGTTATTTTAAATAGTTTTTAATATTTTTAGGTAATTAAATTTTAAAAGTGTGGAATAGTTTAGGGATTAAATTGGTCTGATTGGACTTTCTTAGAACGTTTTTAAAAGCAGCTAAAGATAGTATGTAGAATTGAAAATAATTATTATGCCATAAAAGGTGTTTTGGAATTCCTTCAACCTTTTGAAATTGAGTCAGAAAATATAAATTTTATAGGATAGCGGAAAATACCTATAACTTTTTTGTAGGCCTTTGTAAATCGTGGAAATAGTTTATATTTTATTTCTACCTTATTAAGGAAAATGGTACCTATTATTAATAACGGTTGTTTCTGAAACATTACTAAAATTTTCGAAATTTTAGTTTTCTACAAAATAATAAACTATACTATTTAGAAAAAAAATTATTTCTCTTATAATTTTATAAAAAATAACAGGGGAATATTTACATTTCTTGATCTATTAAACAAAACGATAAATTATCTCGACGAATGACACCATGTTCTAGTATACATTTTTGTTGGTGGTTTCATGGGTTTCATATCAATTTTTTGTAATTGTAGTTTACACGTACATATACCTCTTAACACTTGTTTGCTTTATTAAAAAAGTGTGTTGTTGTGATTTACGTCGAAATAAGTCAAAAACAACTTGAAACCCCATATAAAATCAAAAAGGAGAAACGGAAAAAAATTGAGCCTGTAAATAAACACAACTCAGAAACAAAAATAGCTATCTAATAATAAAAAAATAAAATTTGATTCTTGTGCAGCTTCATCTATATCATTAACTGTTTTTGGTTTTTTAATGGTTTTTCTTGGTGATGAAAATTCCGATATCTCACGGTTATCGATTCTTTTTTTCTCTCCAGAAATGCGGACGACAGGGTTTTTAGATACTCCTGTGGCTGCAGCAACACGATCATTTACATTTTTAAATGGTATTGAAGGTGAATTAAAGTTTCCTTCTCTTCTCATACACTCTATAACATTGGCTATTATTTCGCGAGATTGACTGTTAATCACGCGGCCTCTTAATTTGCTATTAAACTCCATACTTAGGTTCTATTAAACTGTAATGAGCAAAAAACAAACGAAAATAAAAGAAATGTTTTAGCGAAATTTACATCTGACATTTACGTCTGAATGAAATAGTGAAATACTTGATGCGCAGAGTGTACTTTCATTGCGTAAATCCGTCGGGATGCCTGTCAGTAGTGCTTTCTCTGTCTAGCCGTCGAAAGCCTCTAGAAATTTGATGAACTGTATATATTTTTATTATTAAGGGCCGATTTCATAATCATTATTAAAAGGTCCATTAACTAATATTAAGTCCATGAAAACTTGGTCTCATTAGTTAATGGATCTTTTAATAATGATTATGAAATCTGCCCTCGATAAAATGATACATAGATTTTGTTAAAAATACCTTTTTCTACAAACGTCAAAAATAACAAGGTTCGCGCATTGACAACAATATGCGAAGTGACCGTTTTTTTCATTTTCCTTCGTTACCATGACACCGTGCGCGAAGTAGTTTGTGAAATACTTACTTGGCACACTGCATGTAAACTATATGGGATTTTTATATCTTAACCTTTATGTTCCTCAATCAAGCAAAAATCCAAGAAATAATTTATTTATTAATGTTTAACAATAATTAAGGCTTTCAAATTGTGAGAAAATTTAACACTACCTAATTTTATTTATTATTTACAATGTTAACATTAATGGTGCAGCCAATATTTATTCCTAAACCAGATTCAGCTCGTGATATCGTAGTTTTGGGAGTTGGAAGACTATCCATTTTTGATTTGCAAGCAACTGCCGTAGAGTTGACAGCACTTGATCCTGAAATTTCACAGTCTAAAATTTTATTTGATATTTGAATTTTATTGTTGATAGAATCTTCCACGTATAATTCGGCCACAGTAGAAGATTTCCATCCTCCATGTCGCTTCAAAACACATATATCGGCCCCCGTATTAGCAAGGAGTGTGGCTGATGTTCTCCGAAAACAATGGCCCGTGTAGGCATCAGGATTTAGTAATTTTAGGTGTTTTGCTATTAAGCTAGGCCTCTTTCCAATACTATTTATTCCAACAACTTGGTTAAAACATCTTTTATTTTGATACTTCAAAAACAATCGGTGACTGGTAGCATAACTTGGACGAAGAGCCGCATATTTTCGGTAAATGTCAATATAATCTAAATTTGAAACTGTAAAAATTCGTTGTATATTCGTTTTTGTATCGGGTACTTTAACAATCAAAATGGAATTTTTATCTTCTATGTCATCGACCGTTATTTTAGTGAGTTTCTCACGGCGGCAAGCACCCGAAATACCCAGTATTAAAACAACCTAAAAGGAAATCAGTAATTTAAAAAACACATAAAACAATCATCAAAAATCTACCGTAACCAACAAATAGGTTTCATCATCTGCCTTTCTTATAAATTGTTCAACTTCCTCTCTAGTCAATACCTTAGATTTCTTAGGATGGTTTCCAACTGACAATTTTTTCAAATATGGAACCAACTTGGTAAATTTCTTAAAATCCACGTTTTCTTTAACATTGAGTGTTGCTTTCAACATAGAATACATTGCCCATAACGTGGAAGACTTCAGCTTCTTAGACTTCTCTGCAAAATATGCCAACAGCACATTTTCGGATATTTTTCTGGCTTTATTTGCTTCACACCACTCTTTAAATTGCTGATATGCATTTTCATACTGGCGCCTCGATTTCTCCGGTAAAAGATTTGAAATTACTGAATTGGCCGCATCTGTCAAGTTAGGTAGTGTACTGCTTACTTCATCGTCGCTCGAAATTTCCATTATTTTACAGTTATAAATATCACGCACGAAATTGACGCGAATAAAAAGTCACTCCAAAATAATTATCAAGAACTGTCACTTTGAAATAATTGTCAACAAATGCCATTTTATTTCCATAGTTACAGTAATTACTTGATTTGGAAAAACAGTTAAAGCCTTGGTTTCTTTGAACACTTCGTCGCGGTGAGCGGACAGTCCGTCAACCGTCGCGTTTTGACGATTTTATCCAACCAGAGTATTTAAATGGGAATGGTTTTCTTAAATCCGCTTAGCTGAGCAGGACGGCGTCATGCCGCTGATTTGTCGCGAGGAGTCGGTTGATATCTGTTGAGTTTGATATCAGCGGAATCGTCGGCGTGTGCGGAGACTATATTGTTATTAATTTTAAAACAATGAGTGACAAATTCACACATACAGATGACATCATGACTTTATTTTTAGATTTCTTGGAAATTATGTCCTTTATAAAACACAACACGAATTCAAAAAGATCTGTAGAAAGTCTAAAATACTCCCAAAATTTGGTTTCATTTCCAAAAAGCCTCCGCTGCACAGTGATATTAAAGGCACCTTCTGTATCGCGACACAAAAACAACTCATCCACTGGCTTATTGGAATCTTTGACGGTTGCAATTGCCAGTTCCTCTTGTTCTTCCTCTTCCAACAATAATAACGCAAACAATTTATTTGTATCCATTTTAGTACCTTTCGTTTACATTCATAATACATAAACAGCACGTACAGACATAGAGAAAGTATCATTTTCTATATTTTTTAACAAACCACCTCGGGCGAAAATTGCTGTCCTCAGCGGTCGACGGACTGTCCGCTCACCGCGACGGAGTGTTCAAAGAAACCAAGGCTTTTTAGCCAGTTCAATACTATTTTTCATATTAAGCTAAGCATGTTACTTATTTTAGAATATTTTTGACGTTTGTAGAAAAAATTTTGTTTGCCTCTCATGCCCGAAATACTTTGGTGATCTCGACTATTTTTTTTTAACTCGGCTGCGCCTCGTTAAAAAAAATCAGTTCTCGATCACCAAAGTAGCATTTCGCGCACTAGATACAAAAATAACTATTTCGTCGGCTTAATATGAAAATTGCATAAGTCCAAAATAAACAATTTTACAGGAGAGACAAAAAACGAATTTACGGCTTATTTAAAATTTATAGTTAAATAAAAATTACATTGTTATGAAAATTGCACAACTTAATTTAAACATGGTTTACAGATCAATATTTGTTAAAATATAATCGATTTAATATAAATTTGAGTCACTTGTACTTATTTTTACG